AAGTGACAGGATGGAGCTTTTTATAGCGCCAAGAGGTGAGACATAGGGCCCCTAGGAGAGGTAAGAACTCAGATTTGAGAGGTCAGGTCCCCCTCAAATCCAGCCCCTCTCACTAGTGGAAGTTGTCGAAGTTGATTGCAGGTCTGTACCAAGATACCCTTGTGTTGCAGTGTCTGACAGATTGAACATTAAAATGGTATAAAATACCGACAGGTTGTTAGGTAAGACACATATGCAACAGTTAGGTATCTTTATTATGAAACGTTTGCCTACACAGTAGGGTTCTTCATCAGGTACGGGAAAAATTGATAGAAGCAAAGATACTTGAAGACGATGTAATCAGTCCATCACCCCCTTAAAGTTTTGAGGTGGTCAGTCCCTCAGTCTGGAGAAGAGCATTGTTCCATGTATGAAACAATATGGAGAAGAAGTGACAGGATGGAGCTTTTTATAGCGCCAAGAGGTAGACGTAGGGCCCCTAGGAGAGGTAAGAAACCAGATGTTGAGAGGTCAGGTCCCTCTCAAATCCAGCCCCTCTCACTAGTGGAGTTGTCGAAGTTGATTGCAGGTCTGTACCAAGATACCCTTGTGTTGCAGTGTCTGACAGATTGAACATTAAATGGTATAAAATACCGACAGGTTTGTTAGGGAAGACACATATGCAACAGTTAGGTATCTTTATTAGAAACGTTTCGCCTACACAGTAGGCTCTTCAGTCAGGTAAAAAAAGTTGATAGAAGCAGAGAAAACTTGAAGACGATTTTAATCAGTCCATCACCCTTAAAGTTTTGAGGTGGTCATCCCTCAGTCTGGAGAAGAGCATTGTTCCATAGTAATGAAACAATATGGAGAAGAAGTGACAGGATGGAGCTTTTTAAGCGCCAAGAGGTGAACGTAAGGCCACTAGGAGAGGTAAGAACTCAGATGTTGAGAGGTCAGGTCCCTCTCAAATCCAGCCCCTCTCACTAGTGGAAGTTGTCGAAGTTGATTGCAGGTCTGTACCAAGATACCCTTGTGTTGCAGTGTCTGACAGATTGAACATTAAAATGGTATAAAATACCGACAGGTTGTTAGGTAAGATACATATGCAACAGTTAGGTATCTTTATTATGAAACGTTTCGCCTACACAGTAGGCTTCTTCAGTCAGGTACAGAAAAGTTGATAGAAGCAGAAGATACTTGAAGACGACTGACCACCTCAAAACTTTAAGGGTGATGGACTGATTACATCGTCTTCAAGTATCTTCTGCTTCTATCAACTTTTCTGTACCTGATGAAGAAGCCTACTGTGTAGGCGAAACGTTTTCATAATAAAGATACCTAACTGTTGCATATGTGTCTTACCTAACAACCTGTCGGGATTTTATACCATTTTAATGTTCAATCTGTCAGACACTGCAAAACAAGGTATCTTGGTACAGACCCCGCAATCAACTTCGACAACTTTCCCCTAGTGAGAGGGGCTGGATTTGAGAGGACCTGAACCCCTCAACATCTGAGTTCTTACCTCTCCTAGTGGCCTACGTCTCACCTCTTGGCGCTATAAAAAAACTCCATCCTGTCACTTCTTCTCCATATTGTTTTCATACTATGGAACAATGCTCTTTCTCCAAGACTGAGGGACTGACCCCCCTCAAAACTTTAAGGGTGATGGACTGATTACATCGTCTTCAAGTATCTTCTGCTTCTATCAACTTTTCTGTACTTGACTGAAGAAGCCTTCTGTGTAGGCGAAACGTTTCATAATAAAGATACCTAACTGTTGCATCTGTGTCTTACCTAACAACCTGTCGGTATTTTATACCATTTTAATGTTCAATCTGTCAAACACTGCAACACAAGGGTATCTTGGTACAGACCTGCAATCAACTTCGACAACTTCCACTAGTGAAAGGGGCTGGATTTGAGAGGGACCTGACCTCTCAACATCTGAGTTCTTACCTCTCCTAGTGGCCTACGTCTCACCTCTTGGCGCTATAAAAAGCTCCATCCTGTCACTTCTTCTCCATATTGTTTCATACTATGGAACAATGCTCTTCTCCAGACTGAGGGACTGACCACCTCAAAACTTTAAGGGTGATGGACTGATTACATCGTCTTCAAGTATCTTCTGCTTCTATCAACTTTTCTGTACCTGACTGAAGAAGCCTACTGTGTAGGCGAAACGTTTCATAATAAAGATACCTAACTGTTGCATATGTGTCTTACCTAACAACAAGGGATTATGTATACCCCTGCAGAGGATGGAGGCTTGTCCTGTTTACTACTGGTGATGTCCTTGATGGTCGTGGTTGTGGAGGTAGATACTTGGAATGATGTTTTGGCAAAGATGTTGGAAACATGTTTGGCAATGGAGTTGGTGGGAAGGACTATGTATCTCTTCTCGGCAGTGTCTTCTCTGGGTGTGTTGAAGATGTTTAATGCTCACCGTCTGGTATTATGGCTAAGTGACTAAATACTAGTTTGTGAGTTTAGCAATGTGAATGCTTTTGTTTTGGCACAGTACATAGTTTCAGTATTGGAGTATCACAGGATTCATTATTTTAAGATTGAGATTAATATTTCTGTTTTTTGGTCAAATTGGGATGAGTGGGAAGTGTGAACCACTAGGTGGTATTCGTGTAGTTAGTCGACGGGGTGTATCAGGGAGATAAGATGTTTTCTAATGGTAGTTTTGAAGGTGATGAATGTGCCTGCAGTTCTAGAGTTCTCAGGTAGGGTGTTCCAGATTTTAGGGCCTTTGACATGCATTGAATTTTTGTAAAGGTTTAGTCGGACACGGGGAATGTCATAGAGATGTTTGTGTCTGGTGTTATGCCTGTGGGTTCTGTCATAACTATCAAGAAAGCATTTAGGTCAAGGTTGATATTGGAGTTTAAGGTCCTGTAGATGTAGATTGCACAGTAGTAAGTGTGGATGTACTGAACAGGGAGTAAGTTTAGATCTATGAAGAGTGGGGGCCAGGAAAGTTTACGTACGATTAATAAATTGATTCCCTTGGAATTAAATGGTGTTCAATCAAATGTAAATGAAAATCTAAGGGAAAGTGACACAAGTGATATTGAAGATAATGCTGACCAAGTGATGCAGGAAAATGAAATTGTAGTAAGACCTACTAGGAAAACAGCCACTCAAGCCAGAACTGGCTGGAATCGTCTCCTAAAGGAAGGACTAATTTGAGTCATTTAGCAACGAACTCCGCCCGGCCGCAGTGCGGAAAATACTGTATATTTTCTGAAAATACAGTGTATTTTGTATGTAAATTAGTGAAATACATTGTAGTTAATAAAAATTAATTTGTAAATAGAAAAATGAACCAGCGACGGTGGGTTAACGTCGCTGGGGGGAGACGCCATTGTTTTGAAGTGAGCAAAGACATGCTAGTGAAATGTGTATAAATTTCATTGCTCTGAAAGTTAAATTGTGGTTGAACCCTCCCAAATAGGAGCCGAAATTGTTGGATTTGCAGTCCTGCAGAATGTGAGAATTAGGCGAGTGGACAGGACAGTCAGGGAACCCCAGCTAAGTCATGTATATTAATGTTTACCAGAATTCCTGGTGATGTATATTTTATTTAAAATTAATATAGGTGGAGATATACTTGTGGAGATATGACAGTAGGTATCGAAGGGGGACATTTTTTGAGACCTAGAGTGTCCTAAAATTCTTACATGTCTCTGTAACCTTGATAAAGAATAATTATCTTTGTTACTATTTCCTGGTATGTATCTAATGAGGTTCATCCAGGTAATTTTAAATTTTCTATACCACCCATTTACCGATTTCAACTATCCAATAAAGTGGTCAGAAATTGCAATTTTGCCAATTTCAAACAAATTTCAAAAGATGCTAATTTTCAAATAGGGTCCAGAATAAACAAGACAGACATTCCTGGCACTAAAATAACACTTACTCTGTTCATTAGTCATGTCCCCAGGCCCCTCTCTCATTTATTTTGCTTTCCACTTTGAATTTTTATTCTCACAAAAAATAGATTTACTGTTATGCAGACTACTGTATTAGTGTAGAAATGGTATAAATAATATCAGCACACTTGTGAAAGAATATTAGACTCACCAGTTGACGTGTATTGGACGTGTCGCATGATTTATTTACTTTTGACCTTTGGCAAAAATCGAACGTTTTTGCTACTTTGAGCTCATCTAATATGTCTTCCATTCTATAAAATGAGACTACAAAACCAGAATACAACATAAATTACCATACGAAAATACAGTGGAAAGTCGCTGTTTTAAATCAAAAACATTGCCAAAGTTTTTTTTTTTCTCATTACTCACTGTGTGCTACAGGATTTTTTTTATACTGTGAACACTGACCACATAGACCCATTCTTTCATATGTACGTCTACCAGCTTTCTCTCGCTAGATTTGAAGGTGCTAGAATTTATGCGTACTAGTACATCAACAACCCTGGTGCATAAGACGTACTAGTACGTCGGAAACTCTGAAAGGGTTATAGACCCTCAGGTTTTCAGAGTGGTAGATCAGTAGAGGCTTCAGTTTGCAATCCCCACTTGCATTGGTGCAGAACAAGAGAGTTAACCTATCCTTCATTAGCTTGTGCCCTGGTAATTCCTTCTCCTCTTTTGTAATATAGGTCCTGTTAGGCATTTTCTTCCAGACCCAACAATTAAAAACTTGTTGGGGAATAAAACCCTCAGCCTCCACAAATTCCCCAAACTCTGTAACAAAATCATTGATGGCATCTTTATCATTTTGACCCATACAAGTTCTAGCACGTGAGTTGTATTCCAAACAAAGGTCATATACCAAGCAAAAATTTTCGTGTCCAAACAGGACGTATACCAAGTTGAATTTACTCCAAAACAGATGTATACCGATATAATATTTTTTTGCAGAGACCATACATATCTGAAATATTATCCTACAAGAAATAATGTGTTAAACTCAAGAAAGCAGGCTACCATATACCTAACTTTACTCTTAAGCACAAATAGGTACCAGCAAATCACACTTACGCATTGAAGGTTCAGAGCACACAGCCATAGGATCCAACTCTGATGCATTCAGATACTTCTGCAACCTTGTCACAGCCACGCTTGCCTGCAGAGAAGGAAACAATATGATTGGTGTGAGAATTTAAATATTGTCAATTTATTACAATGGATAAGATAGCTGTTTGAAAGAAAAATAGAGCAGTGTTCTGGTGGAGAAATGCCACTTGTGGGGGCCACACAAAGATCTTACTTGCATGACAATGTTTGTAATTTATAGGAATGATTTTTCCAAAAGGAATAAAAAGCTACTGTATATGAATGTGGTTGTGGTTGATGTAAAATTCCTATGATTCCCACCAAGGTAAGTGACCCAAAAAAGGAGAAAAATTTTCACTGTCATTTATTCAATCACTGTTTTGCCAGAAGCATGCTGACATCACAGTGCAGTGACCCTCCAAACTGCAACATTCCCATCCCTCCTTTGGAGTGCAGGCACTGTACTTCCCACTTCTAGGATACAAGTCCAACTAACCAGTTTTCCTAAGTCTTCTCATCAACATTATTTTACTCACACTCCAAAAGCACATAAGGTGGTGGGAATCCTCTCTAATGCACACTCACAACCCTATTGGAGGTCCAAGACCTTAGCACTCAAAATCTTTGTCCCCTCCCTCCCATCTTTCCTAGGATGACCCCTACTTCTCCTTCCCTCTATACAATTTATACACCCTCCTAATCTAATTTTGTTTCATCCTCTCTAAATGTTCAAATTATTTCAACAACTTCTAAGCCTTCTGAATAATAATTTTGGTAACCCCAGCCTTCTTTTAATACTCAAGTTCCAAATTCTCTGGATAATATTCACACCACAAAATGTCCTCAAACATGATAGCTGTACTGCCTTCAGCCTCCTCCTCAATGCAAGGTTTAAAACCCATGCCTCATACCCATACAACAGTGTTGGTACTAGTATACTCTGGTGCATTCCTCATTTTTTACCTCCATGGATCAAGTTCTTTGTCTTCACATGTTGTGCTCCGGGTTTTCTCGTGTTTACACGGTCGCTCTTACGTGCTAGAACTTTAATTTGTGCCATCAATCCTATACGATACATCCCTCTAGCGCCTGGAACCAATCTTGGGCGGAAAACATTATATACTGAGTCAAAAAAGGAGAATTAGTGTGCACTACCTAGCAGAGTTTACTGTCAGAGGGGAATCATAGGCCTGTGTTCCGTGTGGAAAAAAAATAATAATAATTGAACTTTTCGTGTCAGAGGAAAGAAAGTCTCCCTGATAACATTGAGTATACATAGTGTATAGTGTATACTACAGTGGCTCCCTAGTATATTGATGATAAAGGCTAAAGTGTCATTTGAAAACAGGTGAATTTGTAAATGAAGTGATAAGCCTATAGAGGCAGGTGCCAGAAGTCGCCAGAAACTTACCACAGGTCAGCTGTTTTTAATAATCTTCTTGGCCTGCTAGTGTACTCGCATATAATCTAGTGATACCAGTGAATAGCAGAATACAGTGTTGTAGTAGCAACTAACCAGTATTATAATGGTACTTAGTGGAGTGGAGTGACTTTCATTAGTTTCTTTTTCTTGAAATACCAGACATATACTGTGAATTTCATATAACCTGTAGTTACCAGCGGTCGCAATATACACAACGATAAGCAATTATTACTCCAGAAAAAGCGTCCTTCCTCCAAAATTTGCACCAGTCAACTATAGTGATAATGTATAGCATTTATTGTGGTGGAGACGGAAAAAAAAAAATAGAAAAGCTAGATACAGCGATTGATAAACAAGGGTTGAGGTCGACCGTTCGTCATTGTAGGAGTTGCCAGCAGTCACCGGCTCTTCAACACGCAAGTTATACTTTTGTATCAATCAAATCACATATTACTCGGGTAGATAATTTCCAGTAGATCCTTCATGTGTTAGCTCAAATCACCGACCAGTATGGTTTAAATAAGTGACCCACTGATCAGATCAGATCGACTGGTCCGAACCCTTGACTGGTCCGAACCCTGGACTGGTCCGAACCCTGGACTGGTTTCAAACGGTTCCGTTGGACAATAAAGCAGACTGTAAACGGATGGGGTTGTAGGCGCCCTTATAAACACAAACATTAAATATATGTCAGGAACGTGCACGGTAAGCTGTCCAATATACAAAAACAGTTAGAAACAGAAATACAAATAGCTAGAGCTTCATTTAAGGAGGTTATTAATAGAATATTCAAGAGGTTGCTAGTAGAATTGCAGTAAATCAACCATTCAAATCATTATGAAGCTGTGTGTAGTCTGTGGTCAGTCAAACAAACGGGCTTCCACATGCATAAATTGTCATTTTTGTGGAAATTGGTGTCACGCCCCTTGTGCAGATATCCAAGAACTAGCTACAAGCAGTATTAAAACAGGGAAGTGTTTTTGGGTATGCCCCAAAAGAGATAAATCTGTGGACTAAAATCACAAGGGTATTAAAAGAGGTCAACATCAAAGCTGCTTTCATAGAAAACCTGGAAGCTTTCTACAACAGATGGGAACATAAAAAGTCTGGGCTGAATGGTACTGCCCTTGATACTGGCCATGTAGTCAGAAACTGTAAGGCTGGAGATGAAGTCCTGGTAGTCAGTAAATGTGGGGCTGATAGTGCTGTCCTGGGAGACAGTAATGGTGAAGCTGGAGGTGCTGTCCTGGGAGACAGTAATGGTGAAGCTGGAGGTGCTGTCCTGGGAGACAGTAATGGTGAAGCTGGAGATGCTGTCCTGGGAGACAGTAATGGTGAAGCTGGAGATGCTGTCCTGGGAGACAGTAATGGTGAAGCTGGAGATTTTGTCCAGGTAGTCGGGAATTATATGCAGGAAGGAATACATATAAATGACCTCATAGGGGACAGGAGCCATAGTAGGGAAACAAGTGTAGTCAAAGATAAGATAAAACCAATATTGCAAACTAGAAATACCGCAGGAAATAGCAAACAAGAGGACTCCACTAGCAATAGTGAGGATATATTACCAAAAAAAACTGGTGGGAGCTCCATTGTTGGTGCTAGGGAGGATAGAAGTAAGACAGGGAAACATGCACCAACAGAGAATACAGTCACAGAAACCCAAGGCAAACAGAAACCAAGCCTGTGCACATACTATGCACTCGGTATCTGCTGGCATGGGAAATCTGGAAAAACAGATGGGACGTGCAACTATGACCACCCTAGAAAATGCCATGCCCATATGACAACAGGAAAATGCAAACTCCCTTCCTGTAAGCTTTTTCACCCTGAACTGTGTACCTCTTCAGTAGAGGAAAGACTGTGCTATAACTTAAATTGCCAGGCATACCATCTAAAGGGGACAAAAAGATACAAAACATCCAGGCCATGGGAAAACCTGGGTAGCCACAGCCACTCAAGAGGGAGAGGTTTTTTAGTGCCAGGAAGGAAAAAAAACTGGCAGGAAATGGCAGAAATCGTACACCAAATCCAGTCATTCCTGGAGTGGAACCACAGTCGATGGCCTCCACTCCAAACCAACAGATACAGATACTAATACCGGAAAAAAAATCCCCCCCCCCAGTACCAACAACACCACCAGTCCGATAACATTCTTCTTGGCAAATATACAGGGTCTACAGCCAGCAACAAACAACAAAATACCTTTCATCCGTGGACTGCTTGCAGAGGCAAAGGCAATGTTCGCGGCTTTCACTGAGATCCACATAAAGGATCACTTGAACAATGAAATATGGATCCCAGGTTACAACCTATACAGATGTGACAGAGTGAACAGGAAAAGGGGGGGGGGGGGTGGCCTGTACATTGCAGAGTCACTTGTTTGCACAGAACTGCTAAATGCCTCAAATGATGTAGTGGAAGTTTTAGCAGTAAAGGTCGAGAACCAAAACCTAGTCATTGTGGTAGTCTACAAGCCTCTGGATGCAACATCCCAGCAATTCCAGGAACAGCTGTTAAAAATTGACCACTGTCTGGAAAATCTTCCAGCTCCTGCACCCAACATCTTGCTCCTGGGGGATTTCAACTTAAGGCACCTAAAATGGAGGAATATAGCAAATAATATTGTTGCAGTAATAACACCAGGAGGCAGCTCTGATGAAAACTCACACTCACGCGAGCTTTTAAATCTCCGCACAAAATTCAATTTAAACCAGCAAATAATAGAGCCTACTAGACTGGAGAATACACTAGACCTCATCTTCACTAACAATGATGATCTGATAAGAAATGTCACCATATCAAAAACAATATACTCAGATCACAACATAATTGAGGTTCAAACATGTATGCGCGGAGCCCCAGACCGACATAATGAGATTAGTCACGAGGGAGCATTCACCAAATTCAACTTCAATAACAAAAACATAAAGTGGGACCAAGTAAACCAAGTCCTAACCGATATAAGCTGGGAAGATATACTAAGCAACACAGACCCCAACTTATGCCTAGAACAGATTAACTCGGTGGCACTCGATGTATGCACAAGGCTTATTCCTCTAAGAAAAAGGAGGAGTAGATGTAAAATAGAAAGAGACAGGCGCTCCCTTTACAGGCGACGAAAAAGAATAACAGAGCTGCTAAAAGAGGTCAATATATCTGAAATGCGTAGGGAGACACTGGTCAGAGAAATAGCAAGCATCGAACTTAAGCTAAAAGAATCCTTTAGGAGTCAGGAATCGCGGGAAGAACTAAAAGCCATAAATGAAATCGAAAGAAACCCAAAGTATTTCTTCTCCTATGCCAAATCAAAATCGAGAACAACGTCCAGTATTGGGCCACTACTTAAACAAAATGGGTCCTACACAGATGACAGCAAGGAAATGAGTGAGCTACTCAAGTCCCAATATGACTCAGTTTTAGCAAGCCGCTAACCAGACTGAGAGTCGAAGATCAAAATGAATTTTTTATGAGAGAGCCACAAAATTTGATTAACACAAGCCTATCCGATGTTATCCTGACGCCAAATGACTTCGAACAGGCGATAAATGACATGCCCATGCACTCTGCCCCAGGGCCAGACTCATGGAACTCTGTGTTCATCAAGAACTGCAAGAAGCCCCTATCACGAGCCTTTTCCATCCTATGGAGAGGGAGCATGGACACGGGGGTCGTCCCACAGTTACTAAAAACAACAGACATAGCCCCACTCCACAAAGGGGCAGTAAAGCAACAGCAAAGAACTACAGACCAATAGCACTAACATCCCATATCATAAAAATCTTTGAAAGGGTCCTAAGAAGCAAGATCACCACCCATCTAGAAACCCATCAGTTACACAACCCAGGGCAACATGGGTTTAGAACAGGTCGCTCCTGTCTGTCTCAACTATTGGATCACTACGACAAGGTCCTAAATGCACTAGAAGACAAAAAGAATGCAGATGTAATATATACAGACTTTGCAAAAGCCTTCGACAAGTGTGACCATGGCGTAATAGCGCACAAAATGCGTGCTAAAGGAATAACAGGAAAAGTCGGTCGATGGATCTATAATTTCCTCACTAACAGAACACAGAGAGTAGTCGTCAACAGAGTAAAGTCCGAGGCAGCTACGGTGAAAAGCTCTGTTCCACAAGGCACAGTACTCGCTCCCATCTTGTTCCTCATCCTCATATCCGACATAGACAAGGATGTCAGCCACAGCACCGTGTCTTCCTTTGCAGATGACACCCAAATCTGCATGACAGTGTCTTCCATTGCAGACACTGCAAAGCTCCAGGCGGACATCAACCAAATCTTTCAGTGGGCTGCAGAAAACAATATGAAGTTCAACGATGAGAAATTTCAATTACTCAGATATGGTAAACATGAGGAAATTAAATCTTCATCAGAGTACAAAACAAATTCTGGCCACAAAATAGAGCGAAACACCAACGTCAAAGACCTGGGAGTGATCATGTCGGAGGATCTCACCTTCAAGGACCATAACATTGTATCAATCGCATCTGCTAGAAAAATGACAGGATGGATAATGAGAACCTTCAAAACTAGGGAGGCCAAGCCCATGATGACACTCTTCAGGTCACTTGTTCTATCTAGGCTGGAATATTGCTGCACACTAACAGCACCTTTCAAGGCAGGTGAAATTGCCGACCTAGAAAATGTACAGAGAACTTTCACGGCGCGCATAACGGAGATAAAACACCTCAATTACTGGGAGCGCTTGAGGTTCCTAAACCTGTATTCCCTGGAACGCAGGAGGGAGAGATACATGATTATATACACCTGGAAAATCCTAGAGGGACTAGTACCGAACTTGCACACGAAAATCACTCACTATGAAAGCAAAAGACTTGGCAGACGATGCACCATCCCCCCAATGAAAAGAGGGTGTCACTAGCACGTTAAGAGACCATACAATAAGTGTCAGGGGCCCGAGACTGTTCAACTGCCTCCCAGCACACATAAGGGGGATTACCAACAGACCCCTGGCAGTCTTCAAGCTGGCACTGGACAAGCACCTAAAGTCAGTTCCTGATCAGCCGGGCTGTGGCTCATACGTTGGTTTGCGTGCAGCCAGCAGCAACAGCCTGGTTGATCAGGCTCTGATCCACCAGGAGGCCTGGTCACAGACCGGGCCGCGGGGGCGTTGACCCCCGGAACTCTCTCCAGGTAAACTCCAGATATTGGCTTCTGTTGCTAAGGTATGACTTTAGGTAGTTGAGGGAGTGCCCTCTTATACCATAGTGTGATAATTTTATGTGGAGCAAGTCATGGTCAACTGTATCAAAAGCTTTACGTAAATCAATGAAGATCCCCAGTGGGACTTCTTTTTTCTCGAGTGCAGTGTATGTTTGTGTTAGCATCTGTATAATAGCATCATTTGTATTTTTATTAAGCCTGTACCCAGACTGACAGGGGTTGAGTATGTTGTGGGAGATGAGGTAGGAATAGATTCGCTTATGAATAAGTTTTTCAAAGATTTTAGAGAGAGGGTGTAAGTTGGATATTAGCCTATGGTTATTCAAGCCTACTTGATCTCCTTTATGTATCTGGGTGACCCTTGCTGTTTTGAGAACTGTAGGGAAGGTAGAGGATTTGATGGATTTGTTAAAGAGTGTTGCAATGATTGGTGACAGCACTTGTGAAGCTTTTTTGTATATAAAGGGTATTGAGGTATTTAAATCTCCTGTCTTGTTCTTTAGTGTGTTAATAATAAGTGAGACTTCTGCTGGGTTGGTTGGAGCTAGGAATAGTGTGTTCGGGTAGGTGCCAGTGAGGCAGTCATTGGGTGTGGTATTTGAGCTTGGGATTTTACCCGCAAGGTTTTTTCCTATTTACCTGGAGTTTACCTGGAGAGAGTTCCGGGGGTCAACGCCCCCATGGCCCGGTCTGTGACCAGGCCTCCTGGTGGAGCAGAGCCTGATCAACCAGGCTGTTACTGCTGGCTGCACGCAAACCAACGTACGAGCCACAGCCCTGTTGGTCAGGTACAGACTTTAGGTGCCTATGGTGGAGAAGAAAACACTGAGTCTGTTTGCTGTTTCAGAAGATGGGAGTAGGGGTTCATCTGGTTTTGTTAGTGTGATTGTTCTGTTTTCTGATATAATATTTGTTCCTAGAATTTCAGATAGGGTTTTCCAGGTCTTTTTTATATCACTTTTTACGTTGGATAATCTGTTCTCATAATACAATTTTTTTGCCCTTCTTAACAGGCTGGTTAGGATAGATGAGCAATGTTTTGTTTGGTCTCTGGTTATGTGACCCATTCTGTACTGTTTTTCATACTGGTGCTTTATATTTATGGATTTGAGGATGTTTTGAGAATGATTTTATTATGTGCAACTTCAAGATTATTATTCTTACAAACCTCCACCTTGACTACCTCTCTTTAGTATTAAGATTTAATAAGATTGTAATAAAGTTAGCCACTATTATTTTGTCTAGTTTTAAGTAGTTACTATGTACCAGGATTAATCTGCCCGAAATGCCTGGCATGATAGTGGCTATCTTTGTACTTAGCAAACCAAAATTGTAATTACACACTGTAACCTTTACAAAGAAATAAATCTTTATCTTCATCTTATCTGTGTAAGTGAAAAAGCAGAGTAAATTTACATCAGTGTCAAATCAAACTTCTCTTCCCTTTCCATGGAAAAAAAAAAATAAGTTTCAAGTTCCACCTACAACCAACATATAATAATACAGGTGAATACATCATACAAAAAAGATCCTGCATCTTTACCTGTATGAGCTGGGAAATTACTGTTGGCATCTGTATGATTGGTATGCGCATCAAGTTTAAGAGGGCCAAGGAGACAAAGGCCTTCTCAGCGTTTAGTACATTGTCCTCTGATACCAGAAGATAAGTGGAAAAGCTGGCAAGAGCCACCTGAGGAAGACCAAGAGTGTAGTTTATGAGAAATTAACAAAAATTATGCACCATAAAAATGCAAATACTGTACACTATGAAATATTTTATAGTGCACAGTATTTGCTATTCCAATTTCATCAGTAAGATGTAGTAAGTGCTACAACCATTGTAAATGTTATAAAATGATATGATGAACATTTAGTACTTGAGTCCTGAAGTGGGAAGCAGAGTGGCTACCCTCTGAAGGATGGGTGGAAATGCTGAAGTCAGAGGGTAGTCTGTAAGCGCTAGGATTAGTCTGCCAAAATGCACCACTTGCTAGTGGCTTTCTTTTGTGCTTAATAATAGTTTATTAAATGTAGGCTACATTTTGTATAATGTAGAAAAACAAAGTCTGTCTGTGACATCAGCACACTTCTGGGAAGTGGGTTGTTAAGGTGTCCTATGGCTTGGTTGGCAGTGCACTCACCTCACACACTGAATCTCCACATTTCATTTCCCAGTATGGGTGGAAATGTAAGGCATGTTTCCTTAAACCTGCTTTCCCTGTTCACCTAGCAGTAAGTATTAGTCGACTGGTGAGAGTCACATCCTAGGGGACAAAACTGCAGTACTCCAATAGAAATAAGACAAACAGTCCTCAATGGTGAACTGATTTTTTTGGCTTATCTTGAGTGGCTAATCCTCTGGGATAAAAATCCGAACAAATCTTATCTTAATGTGTCTCCTGTATTTTTTTATTTACCCTACTTTAGTGGGAGAAGGCCACTGAGGTAAAAAAATATGAAGATGGGGTGACAATGAGCATAGCTCTGTTTCCATAGCTACAAAAAGCTAAAAATAAGCACAGTAGGTAAAAGAAAAATTAGCAGTCATAGGCTAAAAAAAATTACAGTATCCTTCAAAGTAATATTGGTTAAATTCTTTCATTTCATTGACTAACACTAGTTCTAGTGTTGAAACATTACATCTAATCCTTTAATGTACTCAATAACTCTTAATTTATAGGAAAAAAAAGTCCTTAAATGCACTGACATAAGTTGCAGCTATAGAGACATCAGAGTAACACCAACTCCAGCTAGCCCTCTAAATAATCTCTCAACAATACACACTCTAAAACAGGATTTAGAATGTTTGTATAAACCATCTCTTGCCTGCAATATGTAACATGTTTTACAATCATCCAAGGTGTGCCTAAAGTCCCTTTGATCACCAAAGCTGTCTTTTTCATTCTAGATACACAACCCTGTCAATTTTTTTTTAACCTGACCTTATTCTGTATTTTTTTTTTAGACTAGTCTTACTGTCTTTATTATTCTTTATGTCACTTTTATAATAATAATAATAATAAATTTATACAAGTACATGATACAACATATACAGACCTAGCTGATATCAATGATATACTATATAGAAAGTCCCTGGTCATTTACCTGGAGTTTTCCTAGAGAGGGTTTCGGGGGTCAATGCCCCCATGGCCTGGTCTGAGACCAGGCCTCATGGTGGATCAGGGTCTGATCAACCAGGCTGTTATTGCTGGCCACACGCAAGCTGACGTACGAACCACAGCCAGGTTAGCCAGGTACTGACTTTAGGTGCCTGTCCAGTGCAGAGCATTTTGGGCAACTTTGGTTAATCTTGTCCCCCCGGGATGCGACCCCCAGTCGGCTAACACCCAGGTACCTACTTGATGCTAGGTGAACAGGGACAGCAGGTGTAAGGAAACATGCCCAGTGTTTCCACCCATACTGAGGACTGAACCAGACCCTCACTGTGTGCGTTGAGTGTGCTACCTACTGAGCTATGGATCAATCAGGCTGTCTTTATTATCTTGTATGTCAACCAGGATCTTCATTGTTTGGTAAAGAAAACCTTTTTCACTGTCTTTTATGATCAATAAGGTTGTCCCCAGCAAGTTTTTGAGATCTGATGTGTTGTTGGTGTGAACAAAGCAACATGTATGAAGGGATCCATGAAAACCAGTTAGCTGAACTTAAGAGTTTACAGGCTGGGTAGTGATACTGCAGTTTACTTCATTTAAACTGTAATATTTGTACACTTCTGGTAAGATAGCTAATACATGAGTGATGGTGAATATTTTTCTTTTGAATAACCCTACCTTGGGGGAAAGTAGCCAGATTAACAAAAATGCTTTCACTGCTTTTTTTGGTTAACCAAACTATCTTATTTTTTTTTTTTTTGATCAACCAAGATGCCTTCCTTATCTTTTTGTTCAACTAGGCTATATTTCACATTCTCTGACACAACAGGCTGTTGGACTCTACAGCTCACATTACTGTATGTGCATGCTGCAGAGGATACTTACCATATACGGGGTGAAGTTGAAAACGAATGAGTTGATGATTTGCAAGAAGGCCAGCTTCTTGAGTAGTGAGATCTCTTTATCTCTCACCTCCTCGACCATACTGGCAAAGGAGGTCTCCCATGCATAGAGCTTCAGCACCTGCAATAGGAATATTGATGTGAGTGGGAAGATGTCTACTGTTTTGTGTCAATCTTTCTCTCACAGGCTTTTCCTTTCTATGTCTTCCTCTTTCTCTCTTCTAATAAACTAGCAAAATTTCTTTCTTCTGGTTGCTCTCTGTTTGCCTTTATTGGGTTAAAGTTGCTCTTCAGGGTGCTCATCTCTTTATCTATTAATAATAAAGCTATTATGGAATTAAAGTTCTTGTATAGGGTATCTCTATATAGTGTATTGTTAATGAAATTTCTGAAGGATTTAATTCAATGATTATCTCTAACATTTAAACATTTGATGTCCTTCTGATCTTCCTCTTCTCAAACTCACAGAGATTTATTACATCTTACCTTGATGCCACTGACAATCTCACTGGCCATCTTGACTCTTTTGTCTTTAAAAGACATGGCCTTAGCTTGAATTTTTTTTGACTTATTGACCAGCACGCTGTTAATGGGGATGATGAGCAGCAAGACAACCACTCCTGCCAGTACTGATGGACCTGTCATGGCAATACACGTAAGTAAGAAACCGCATGGTTGTCACCCTCTATTTCAAAATTCAAAAGTTTATTTCCACATGATACACTGTTTATACAGAAAAGGGTTCCTTAACTCTCAAGACAGTATCATGAAGAACAAAAAAAAATATAACTAATAACAATACCAACCAAGACGGCCCCAGAGAAAGGAGAGGGAGACGAGAATGGTGAGAGGTGCCATTATCATGGCATATATGTGGAGGAATGTGTCCCCAACAGTCTGGGCATCCACTGCCATCAGATTTACAATCTGGCCCAATGTTGATTCCCTCCGGGCTGATCCGGACAGCCGGAGTGCCTGCAGAAGTTAAGTGAAGATATTAACAAATTGGCCATCTCCCACCAAAGCAGTGACCCAAAAAGAAAGAAAATCCCCAAAAAGAAAATCCTTTCAACATTCAACACTTTCACCTCACTCATACATAATAACTGTTTTTGCAGAGGTGCCCAGAACACAACAGTTTAAAAACATATATGTATAAAGATACACAACATATCCCTCCAAACTGCCAATATCCCAAACCCATCCTTTAAAGTGCAGGCATTGTACTTCCCATTTCCAGTACTCGAGTCCGGCTATATAAAAATAACTGGTTTTCCTGAATCCGTTCACTAAATATTACCCTGCTCACACTCCAACAGCTCATCAGGTCCCAAATACCATTTGTCTCCATTCACTCCTATCTAACACACTCGTGCATGCTTGCTCGAAGTCCAAGCCTTTTCAAGGATGACCCCTACCCTGCCTTCCTTCCCCTACAGATTTATGCGCTCTCCATGTCATTCTACTTCGATCCATTCTCTCTAAATGACCAAACCACCTCAACAATCCCTCTTCAGCCCTCTGACTAATACTTTTATTAACTCTACACCTTCTCCTAATTTTCACATTCCGAATTCTCTGCATAATATTTACACCACACATTGCCCTTAGATAGGACATCTCCAACCACCTCCTCGCTGCAGCATTTACAACCCAAGCTTCACAACCATATAAGAATGTTGGTACCACTATACTTTCAAACATTCCCTTCTTTACATCCATAGATCATGTTTTTTGTCTCCACATATACCGCAATGTACCACTCACCTTTTTCCTTAATCAATTCTATGGTTAACCTCATCCTTCATACTGTAGACAGCCTGTACTGTCTGCACAGACAGCCTACACTGTCTGCCAGCTTAGTTCATATTTCGCGGCACTAAGATGCTGCCCTCTGTAGCCAGGCCTCTCGGTGGGCAAGCCAGCCTGCCGGCCCTTGCCACGCTCTCACTCACACAGCGGCCTAGCAGGAAGACACAAGGCCTACTCCTAGCTCTCTCTCATGGGATGGCCCTCCCAGGCCATGGACACAACACACAAGCCTGTGTACCCACCACGACCTTTCAATAAACTAAGAAGCCTCTGAAGACGTTTATCATTCACACCCTGCTACCATACTACCAAACAAACTCGTTATAAATGGTAGCAGCGGTGGTCGCAGCAGTTGTTTGCCCGGAGAGAGGAAGGAGAGGTATGAAGTCATCTTTACTTCATCACCCTACACAAGAAGCATCCGTCTCTCAACAAGTTATCCTGATGTCGTGTCTGCATGTTTGAGCATCCAGATACAGGTACAAGCAGGATCCAGGCCAAAATTTGCCGAAATTCTCCGAGAATTGTAAGTGGCGTCCCAGTGACCCCATGCTGTTTCTCAAGTCACGTGTTCAGCGTCACTTGTATGTTGCTGCTGTTGTTGTTCAGCTCAGCACAGCTGTTTCAGCAAGCCAGAGGTGAGTTTTGTGGCGATTTCTGCGTCCAGTGTGAGGTTCTCCACGTGTTTGTGGGTGGGAGAGAAGGGGAGGAAGTGGCCGTTCCTCACCTTGCCCATGCTCGCCCTACTCACGCTCACCTGTCTACCATACACTCACCACTGTTCACTCCCTCTGCTGTGTTTTCTGCTGTTTTTCGTGTGAATTCGTCGCCAGTGCTGTGTATCCAAGGGCCCGAGGCCACTCGAAGCTATGTGGATCAGCATGCCACATAAATCATGACGCCACGTGGATCACGACGCCACATTGGGTGTGGGCGATGTCACGTGGATCTACCAGCCACGTGAGTTACCAGATGTCCCAGGCCACATGCTGTGGTATGCTGCCCGCATCACATCGACGTCACCGATGCTGCTGCCAGACTTCATGACATCACGATGTCTGCCTGACGTCACCTCGAGATGTCTGCTGACGTCACAGTGCTGCTGACGTCATCTCGCGACATCACGCCTGACATCACATGATGTCACCATCGAGTGTTCAGTAATTATTTCAATATTGTCGAGAAGACTAAGAGAAGATATATGTCGTGTGTTAATTCCTCTCAGTCAGTGTTCTCACATTTTAGTATATGCCTTAGTGTCAGTTTTATGCACAGAAAAGCATCATTTGCTAGTTTAAGCCATGTAGTACTGCATGTACCGCGGGTGTTTAAAGTTTCCATGTGTCCAGTGAGGTCTGAGCCAGACCTGAGTAGCACCACTGTGCTAAGTCACCCGTGTGACCAGTGTGTTTGACAGCTATCAGACAGCCCTGAGTCCGAGCCCTCTTGTACAGAAAGCTTTTATGCTCATCGCTTGTGATGTTCTGCAGAATCGTACCTGCTACGATTCCCATCGAGATTTGTTTCACTTCACCTCCAGACCATCAGAGTGCAGTTATATGTAGAGAAACAAGTCTGGGGACGCTTAGACTAACCTCTGCTATAACTCCAACTGCCGAGTCGGACCGAAACGTCGTCGTAAGCTTCTGTCTTTTATGTGCGGGTTATTTGTGTATCGTTCCAGTCACGGTATTGTGCCTTTTTGTTATTTATAGAATGATACTCACCAAGCCGCAGTTAGCCCTGTTGGCAAGCGCTGTGTCAGCCTCGTGTCACAAGCTTCAGTGAGCAGCCTGCACAAAGATGATGTCACATTGACTGCTAGCTCACTCACTGCAGTCTGGTGTATGATGTTACGACTCCCAAATGTTTCGCCCAGTCGTCTCTGCCACGACTCGCTCTACAACTCGCTCCACGCTCGCTGGCAGTGACAGCCCAGCGACAGTACCAGTCGAGAAGTGTCCTATTGAGTCGCTTGCCAGAAGTCCTGCCCAGTTGCCGAGTTTTGTCGACGCCTCACTCGAGGGCACAAGCATGTTGTGCCCCAGGTTGGGTGAAACCTTCAGCGACTCCTACGATGTCTGCTTCACCGTTCCAGAGGAGACCGTACCCTGTTACATCACAGCTCAGCCACAACAATGTCTCCTGTGTTGCAGTATCTGTCCAGATGCAGGAAGGCGTGCAGTGATGCCCATTGACGCTCACTGCCTTTGACTACGATGTTTAGCACACCCCACATGTTTTTTTCTTCCCTCCCTGTAGGAAGTTTCTTTCCATGTTTATATTTTGTGTTCTGTGCCCTGTTCCTATGAGAGAGAGACCGAGTTTCTTTTACCGCCAGTATTGTCGCATTGGGACGATGTGCGGTAGGTGGCCGAGCATATGTAGACAGCCTGTACTGTCTGCACAGACAGCCTATGCTGTCTGCCAGCTTAGTTCATATTTTGCGGCACAAAGATGCTGCCCTCTGTAGCCAGGTCTCTCGGTGGGCATGCCAGCCTGCCGGCCCTTGCCACGCTCTCACTCACACAGTGGCCTAGTAGGAAGACACAAGGCCTACTCCTAGCTCTCTCTCATGGGATGGCCCTGCCCGGGCCATGGGCACAACACACAATCCTGTGTACCCACCACGACATAACAATAAAGTAAGAAGCTTCCGAAGACGTATCATTTAACCACCCTCTACCAGAACGCCAAATAATTGCGTTATAATACATCCATCTGCTGACACGTCAACTCCCAAATATCTGAAAACATTCACTTCTTCCATACTCCTCCTCTCCAATTTGATATCCAATTTTTTTTTATCTAAATCATTTGATACACTCATCACCTTACTCTTTTCTAAGCTTCCTTTCAACTTTCTACCTTTACACACTCTCCCAAACTCGTTCATTAACCTTTGCAACTTTTCTTTAGAATCTCCAATAAGCACAGTATCATCAGCAAAAAGTAACTGTGTCAATTCCCATTTTGTATTTGATTCCCCATAATTTTTTCCCACCCCTCTCCCCAACACCCTATCATTTACTTATTTTACAACCCCATCTATAAATACGTATATTAAAGAACCATGGTGACATTACACATCCCTGTCTAAGACCCACCTTTACTGGGAAGTAGTCTCCCTCTCATCTACATGCCCTAACCTGACCCTCACTATCCTCATAAAAACTCTTTACAGCATTTAGTAACTTACTACCTATTCCATATACATGTACTTGCAACATCTGCCACATTGCTTCCCTGTCTACTCTATCATATGCCTTTTCTAAATCCATAAATGCAATGAAATCTTCCCTACCTTTATTTAAATACTGTTCACATATATGCATCAGTGTAAACACTTCATCTACACATTCCCTACCCACTCTAAAACCTCCTTGCTCATCCACAATCCTACATTCTGTCTTGCCTCTAATTCTTTCAGTAATAACCCTACCATACACTTTTTCTGGTATACTCAGTAAACTTATTCCTCTAAAATTTTTACAATCTCTTTTGTCCCCCTTCCCTTTATATAAAGGAAGGGTGTCACTAGCACGTTAAGAGACCATACAATAAGTGTCAGGGGCCCGAGACTGTTCAACTGCCTCCCAGCATACATAAGGGGGATTACCAACAGACCCCTGCGTCTTTTAAGGGCACTGGACGCACCAAAGTCGTTCCGACCAGCCCTTCCCGGGGGGGCAGCCAGCAAACAACACCTGGGGTTTATCAGGCTCAGATCCACCCGGAGCCTGGTCACAGACCGGGCCGTGGGGGGGTTGACTCCCGGGAAATCTCTTCAGTAAAATCCATTATTATTATATTATTATATATAAAAATATATATATTCGGGCCCAATTGTAAAAAAATGGTCAATTAGCAAGAACTCATTGAAATTAAGTCCTTTCCAAATTTTCTCCCTTCGTTAAAGATATATTTTTTTCATTAATGTTGATGTAAAATTTATAATTTTTCACCAAAAAGGGAAATTAAAAAACTTACCTAACCTTATTTAACAAGCAAATTATTTTAGCCTAACCCAACTAAAATATATTTTAGATTTGTTTACAATAATTAAATACTAAACAAACACAGTGAAATATATTTTTTTTCGTTAAGTTCAGAATAATTTTGGCGAAATTATTGCATACACAAATTAATTTTCACTTGTCCTA